AGGCGGGAGACCCTCGGCGGCGGCAGGGGCTTCGGGGCGCGGAGGCCGCGGGGCGCGCGCTGGGACAACCGGGCCCGCACGGGGCATCTCCCCGGCCGCCCAGGCCAGGCTTGTCCGGTTGCCATGGAAACTGGCGGCTCTCGGGGCACCGGCGCAGCCCCGGGGGGCGGGACCCGAAGGCCGGTGAGTGCGGGCGAGGGAGGCCCAGCCTGCAGGTTTCGGGGAGTGGGCTGCGGTCAGCGCCCCCTGCGATTCCCGGGGCCTGGCCCCCACCTGCAGGGTCCCCCGGGCCTCAGTCTCCCGGGTGGTCCTCTTGGAGGGGGCTCTGGCAGCGCGGGAGCCGCGGGGGAGCAGGGCGCAGGGTCCGCATCATCCCTCCAGGGCTGGTGTGGCATCCCCCCGCCCACAGCCCGCCTTGGTTTTCCTGTGCACACAGCAGCGCTCCCCACTCGTGTGCCGGCTGAAAGCATTGTCTCCCAGCTATTTCTGTACGACTTCCAGCCCCTCGGCAGATACTGCATCTAAGAAAACATATGCTGAGCTGGAGCTCCCGGCGGCCCCGGAGAAGAAACTGGCTTATTTCCCACCAGGGAGCCGGTTGGTGGGGCCGGGGCGGAGCTGCAGTCCCGCCCGCTCAGCCACCAGCGCCCTGTCAAGTGTTTGGTTAATCTGAATTGCCGAAAAGAATTTTCCAAGTCGCCAGCGATTACAGGTGTCTTCAGTTAGCTCGGGCCACCTCTCGTGCATTCCAGAGAGCAGCCCGTCCTTCATCCCATGGGCGGAAAAAGTCAGTCCCCTCTCGAGGCTAGCGTGTCAGAATTAAATCTGATTAAATTATTTTTGTATTTAAAAGCATCACTCTGGCTGGAGCTGTCAGGATAGGATTTATGGACGCTGGGGATAAAGCAGAGCCTGCAAGCCTACCCTCTTCCTTTCCTCTCCGGGTGGAAATTGTAATGGATTCCACATTGCCGTGTTGGAACGCCATGTCCCTCCACCCATTTTGTCAGCCCTGCACTGACCTCGCTCACTGCCCTTGCTGGTGTGACTTGAGCTTGTTTTCCTCAGAAATTGGACTCTTCCTTGAGAACCAGAGAAGAACCTTCTCCACAACAAGCGTCCTACACCCTCCGCCCGTGTTCCCCCAAGCATTTGTGTGAATGAGGAGAGAATTAAGCAGAAAAAGAAAAGGCAGGTCATGCTCCCCAAAAAACGGATCTGGTTACCTAGGGTGCGCTCTGCTCTGTAGGATATTCCTGCCCTCTTGCCCTTTCTAAAAACAAACTCGTCACTTTTTATCAAATAGGCCGTACTCTGCATTCTGTGGTTGTGACAGAAGGCGCCGTGAACAAGTGGCCGCCGTCCCTGGTTAGTCTCTGAAAATGGCCACAGAGAGAGTGACCATAAGGAGAAAAAAGCTTCCTGACCAGATAGATCAGATAGACCAGGGTCTGTGTTTACTGGGCCTTCCCGGGGCTTAGGAAGGAGTTACTGGAAAGGGAGGAATCACATTCTCTCCTACATGCTCTCCCCTCTCTTCGTGATACTGCTAACTTTGCCTTAGAACCCAGCTCGAGAGATTGCTGAAGAGGAGAGAGGGCCCCTCATTTCCAAGGCCCTGGGAGGGGACCTGGCAGCTGTGCATTTGTAATTTTCTGTTTCTTTTTTATTAAAGCAGAATTGTCTAAGCTTCAGACCTTGCAGAACCTGGATCCCCCCTGTCCCCCACCGTGAATAGTAGCGATTCATGTCTCCGTTGTATCTGGGGGCCTTTTAAACTTCTCTGTTTACTCTGTGGCTTTTGACTTTTCTGCTTAGCGCTGGTTTCGTAGTTTTCAGCATGGTAGTTCAATTTACATTCAGACATCATCTCGAAAGGGAGAGGCTTCCGAGCCACAAGCTGCCTGGTGGCAGAGGCCGCACTGCAGTCCACTTTGGGTTTGGGTGGGGACCCTGGGGGCTGTGCTTGAAGGAGGCCAAGTAAGCGAAGTGTTGTCCTCTGAGAGTGTGTGGGGGTCCGAGAGGCCCGGGTTGGAAATTTCGGAGGCAGGGCTGTGTAACTTGCAGAAGGCTCGGGTTGAAATTGGCAACAGTCTGAAGCTGCTGGTATGGTGTGCAAACGCAAGCCCATGTGCTTGTCATGCAAGCACTCTGAACCACTTCTGTTGTCAGTTCAATCGAGGCCTCTGGCAGGTCCAGAGGGGAGGCCCTAGCCAGCTCAGGGATCCTTCAGATCTGACGAGGAGACTTGTCGCACATTCCTTGGGAGGAGAAACGGAGCCTTTGACGTGTCTCCTCCTTGATAGCTTGACTTACTAAGGCTGGAGAGCCTTGTATGCTCATTCTGCTTAGGGCACTTGACTGTTTTAAGCAAGTTCAAGTCTTCAGAAGGCTCTTACACAATGAAAGGCTTTGCAGGGTAAAGTGTAAGCAATAGGCTGTAGGAACCAGAGAAGCATCCCCCACTCCCCCAAAGGGCAGATGTTAGTGTTCAGAACCCAGTCTTCGGTGCATGAAGCTCTCAGAAGCGTTTTGAAGAGTTTGGGGTCCTCTGAGAATGTACGGTGGCTGACAGACCAGCGGGGGCGGGGAGGCTTATTTTAGCAGAATTGGTGGCAGGTTTCCTTTTCAACCGTAATTCATGACAGCCCTGGATGGAGTGGGAGACCTGAGATAATACGACTGAAGCCCAGGTGGACAGCTAGAAAGAAACCCAGTTCATGATGGTGGTGTTAGAGGCCTGGGCAGTTTCCCTGCTTGGGTCCCTTGGGGTCAGTGTGGGTCCTTTTCTTTGGGGGGGCTCCCTAGTTGCTGTCTCCTGCCCCAAGCAGCCACCTTCACTTCCAGAAAGGCTTTTGCGGTGGCCGTGGAGCCCTGAGTGGGTCAGGACGAGGGCGCTGACTTCAGCTGAGTTTAGTGCTGACGTTCATCGCCGTGTCAGGTGCCCAGTGCTGCTCTCCCTGGGACCGGCACCACCATTTCCAGATCCTTCGTGAAAATGGAGTTTTCTTCTTTGGTCTGTCTGCCTTTGTCTCTGGTGAGGACATGAGCACAGAAGTGGGGTGCATTAGTCAGGAGATGTGTGCAGTTTTTTTATGGTCCTCCATGGATTTGTAAAGCCTTCATTTTTGTGAAGCAGAGACATCTTCCTTTTGCTCTGCCCTCCTGCTCCCACAGGAGGAACCTGATAAACTTTAAGGAACCTGATAAACTCTCTCTTTAGAACTCTCAGCCCTGGGAGCACTAAGTGCACTAAAATTATGGTTTTCTGCCACACCGAAGCGTCCCAGAGCTGTTTTCTCATTTCCCCAGCATTCTGCATCTCGGGCCTGGCCAGGGCTGCCATACCAGGCTGGATGCGGTGGGTGGAATGCGTACATTCCAGGCATGCCTCCACGGTTCTGGAGGAGCCCTTCTGTGTCCACGGTGGTCATGCGGACATTCTAGTGCTGCCATCCCCGGCAAGTGGCTCCTCCAAGCCAGGACTGGTCCGGTCCTCGAGAGGCATCCTTGGGAGGGTTTGTATTTTGAATGTCTGATCGCTTATTACTCTGTTACTGTGGCTGCAACTCTGCCTGTTTTCCTAGTTTCATCTGTGTTTGGGATGGATTTTCCATATTATAGGCTGTGGTGAAGGAGAAATGGAGTTTAAGGAGAAGGCATTTCGCACTCTCCGTTGTGTATAACTTTTCTTTGGGTGCGACGTGATCGATGGTGGGCTGCCTCCGATGAGACTGAACCAGCCCTGCTGAAAGTCTGCTCTGCAAGGACAGCTCACACCCACGCTGTCCGTCACTGTTTCCTGGCTGTGTTGTTGTGCCCAGCACCTTACAGAAGCCGGAACCCTACAGCAGAGCATGTCTTACCTTTTGGTGACCTCATCACACTTCCTAGTAATGGCTTTCCTTGAAGGGCGTTTCAGCCCATTCACACCTGCTCTATCCCCTGTGGTCCCTGCCAGCTCAGCCAGCTCCTTACTCGGGGGCTCTGTTGGGACTTGGCCGAGGGTGGCATGTCTGCTGGTTCTGCTGGGTGCTGGGCCTGGGTGGCCTATTGAGTCTGTTAGCATTGATCTGAGCCTCAGTCGCTCTCGCTGCTCCTGATGGTCAGTGCTAACCCATCTTATGTTTTTCTCCCAGGACACGGCCTTCTCCCCGCCGTTGGCCGCAGCCCTCAGTCCTCATCTATGAAGACTGGCCCACCATGTTTTATGGGACCCACTTCATCATGTCTCCACCCACCAAGAGCAAGCTGAAGCGGCAGAGTCAGCTGCTGTCCAGCATGCTGTCCCGGACGCTGAGCTACAAGTACCGCGACCTGGACGCCACCTTCTCCAGCCTGGGTGCCAGCGACGACCCCGCAGAGCTCTCCACCCAACTTTCGGCCCCTGGGGTCCTGAAGGTGTTCGGGGACAGCGTCTGCACAGGCACCCACTACAAGAGCGTCCTGGCCACCGGCACGTCCAGCGCCCAGGAGCTGGTGAAAGAGGCCCTGGAGCGGTACGCCTTGAGCCCCGAGTGCGCCAGCCAGTACGTGCTGTGTGACGTGGTGGGCCAGGCCGGCGACTCCGGGCAGCAGTGGCAGGCCGAATGCCTGCGGGTGTTTGGGGACAACGAGAAGCCCCTCTTGATCCAGGAATTGTGGAAACCCCGAGAAGGCTTGTCCCGCAGGTTCGAGCTGAGAAAGAGGTCAGACGTGGAAGAGCTGGCAGCCAAGGATGTGGACACTATGACAGCAGGTGAGCAGCGGGGAGGCGTCGGGAAAAGCTGGGGGCCGATCGGGGTGGGGGTTGAACAGGCAGAGGCGCAGGGGCCCGCTCGGGGGAAACCACAGGAAGGACAGTCAGAGCCTCCGTTACGGCGTTTGAGGACTTCGTCTTCAGTTCGCCGCTGTCACAGTGTCTGTCTTGGAGACTGCAGTTTGTCTACACTGCAGGACGCCCGCTGGTGTTCTTGAGTGGCTCCTGATGTGGTCCTGCAGTGTTGTAGGGCAGGTTCCTCCTTTTGTTTAAAGGTCCCCATCCAGCTCTCTGGCAGTCCTGCCATTAGCTGCAGAGAGCACCTTGTCCAGTGCAGGTGGCAGAGGCGTCACAGAGAGTCTTGTAGTGCCCGAGGCCCTGGGCAATCAAGTGAAAAGAGGAAGGACACCGGGCCTCCAGAGGTGACGGGGTGCATCCAGTGTGCACGGGTTCGTGGGTGCCTGGGGCAGTTGGAGGCCGTCCTGGAGGAAGGCCCAGCCTAGAAGCAGTTGGTTATTGTCCATCTGATGCATGCCAGGGGCAGCAGGCGGCTCTGAGTCCCTGCCCTAGGGCTGGAGCGTTCCGTGGCCTGTGGGCCACTGCTTTGTGTGTGGCTGTTATTCAATTGGTGGAAAGAATTTGATTATCTTAATAGGTAAGCACCATAAGCAATAATTTTTTTCAAATGCCACAAGACTCTTAAATGTATCTCAGATCATGTTTGACTTTTTCCTAGTTTCCCATAGAAAATAGTGGCTTTACATGAGCAAGTGGACTTATCTTATGTGGCCCAGAGCAGAAAGACATTTAATGGCCTCAGGAGACTTGTCACTCGATTCGTGATCCTCCAGGGTTGAAAGGGGCCTGGAGCCCTCGCTGATGTTTCGTGTGCATCGCCGAGGTGTGGTGCACGCTCATTTCCTCTAGTTCTGCTTCCAGTGTGAAGCCTGTCTTGCACCTTTGGTATATGAAGACGAGGCATGTGCAGGGCAGTGGACTCCCAGGGGCTGGGGTCCCTCAGGCCTGGCCAGGACACTGTGCCACACAGCTCCAGGGTGCCACGGCTGGTGTTGGGCAGCAGCAGCCCTCTGTTACCTTGTGCAAATTGCTTCACCTCTTTTGGCCTCAGTTTCCTGATCTGGAGGATGGGGTCATGACTCTCCCAGAGTTGAGGGGGTTAGTGAAGTAAAGTACGGAAAGCTCTTAGCGCAGCGCACGGGAAATCATAGCAGGGTACTATCATTATTTTGACAACCATTTCCTGCCGGCAGTCAGCACCCTGTACGCTTGTGGGCCGTGGTGTGCCAACGACGGGGTGGCAGGGGGTCCTTGTGACAGGGAGGGTATTTTATCACTGACGTTCTTCACAGTGGCTGGCACACGGGATAATAAAAAGAGACCAACGTGGAGTTGATGGTGTTGTTTTCAAGTCTCCTCAGACAAGGCCCGCTCACTGCCCACCCCATAGGCTCAGGCTTGAGGGGTTTGGCTTTTCATCCTGACTCTGCCTTGCTCCACTCCGGGGACTCTGGCCTATCCCCTCCTTGTTCTGGAAGGGCCGTGGCGGTGTGGGTGGAGGGAGCCGGTGTCATCGTCTGTCTGGTGTTTGCTCTGCTGAGTGGGCAGCAGAGAGCCATGAGCCAGGGCCAGCCCTGCCCCTCCTGAAGGTCACTGCACCCTGGGCACCTGGGTGGGCCCCGGAGAGCCTGCTCTGTGTCGCCCAGGTGATTGCTAGGGGGCCATGGGGACCATGTGCAGGAGGCCAGGCTTTGGCTTACTGTCACCAACCCCTTTGAGACCTTCCCTTTTACATTAGTTGAGGCAAGAGAAGGCCCAGGGCCACCACCCATTCAGCCGGGTGGTGGCTTTGCAAGCCTTTCACATAAAGGGCCTATTGAGCCAGGCCGGGCTCGCTGACACACTTCTCTGGGCTGGAGCAGGTTGTGTTACCGGCCCTGAGCAGGCCTCCCGGACCCCAGGGAGTCATCCTTCCTCGCCGGCCTTCCACTCGGGAGTGGGCTGGGTCACTCTGTGCCTCCTGGCCATGCCGTCCCCTCGCCAGTGACAGTGAAGCCGGCATGGAGAGGCCTGCGGAGGCCGTGGGCTGTCTGAGCTCTCGGTGGCCCGGGCTTCCCTCCGCTCCTGACAGACACCCGGAGCTGGCTGGGGCGGGGCGGACGGCGAAGGCTCAGGGCCCTGCACCGAACTTGACCCCAAGTCCACACCTTTGAGTTAGCGTCTTTGTTTGGTTATTCTGATGATACATGAATAGTGGACACAAAACCGTACACACACCCACACACGTGCTCACACGCGGGCACACACGTGCACGGGACTGTTCCCCTGTGCAGAGAACCTGGGGCAGCCTCCTTGCATCTGTAGGTGGCCTTCCGCGCCCTCCTGGAGCGCACCTCCCAGATTCTCAGCATCTCAGAGGAACGGAACCCGAGGGAGCTGAGCCGTGGTCCCGGCCCCCCTTCCTGAGAGCTGCTTGGTGGCAGATAAAGCAGCCCAGTGTCCCCCTGCCATCCTCACCAACGGTGGGAACAAAGGGAGACTCAAAGTCGCTGCGATGTGGAGGCGGGTGAGGAGTGGAGTGGCTGTTTGGTGTCGAGGGTGGGTGACTGTTGCGTTACGTTTGACGATGAGAAAGAATCACGAGCTTGCGAGCTTGTCCGTCTGCCTGCTAGGGGAGGCTTTTCTCCATGTTCCTCACACCTGTGGTCGCATCCCCTGTCTTGTGTGCCCCTGGGGAATGGGGCTCCTGACCTCCTGCATGGCCTGTCCCTGGTGAGCCCCCAGGATGCTGATGGCGCCACAGTGCTGGCCTATCCTCAGAGAGCGGGCACCTGGCGCTGGCCTGTGCGTGGCTGTGAGGCTGCATGGTGAAATCAGTGCCTAGAAGTGGGGCGTTTCAGTGTTTAGGGGGTGGTGGATGCCACTGCAGAGCAGTGCTGCAGGGCACCTCCTTCCCTTCCTTCTTTCCCCAAAGAACAGATAAGGTTGTCGTTACTCTCTAGTGAGTGAATGGTCGACTTTATCTGGAAAAAGTGGTGGGAAAGGGAAGGGACCGCCTGTGTGTGCATGCACATGTGTGCGTGTGTGCATGTGTGTGTATGTGCATGTAAAGTGTGTGCATGTGTGTATGTGCATGCGTGTGTGTGTGCATGTGCATGTGCGTGCACAAGTGTGTGCGTATGTGAATTAATGCTGGCCTTCCCCATGTTCGGGTCCAGATTACTTAACACCCGTCACAGTAATTTCGTTATTCCAGTGATTGTTCCCACAGTAACAGACTCCCCCTGGTTGTGAGTGAGTTGGGGCTCCCTGGTTGTGCTGGTTCCAGAGGAAGCCTTTAGCCAAAGCCTATGGCGCATGTCTTGGCGGCTGTTTGGAGGTGAGCAGCAGCTGGGAGCGGGCGCCCGGGGCTGGGATCTGCCCGCAGGCCTTCCTCCGGCACGTTGGCTGGGATTCCCCAGCAGAATCAGGTGTGAAGGTGAGTGTGACAGACCCGCTTCCCGAGGGCCCTAGAATAAGAACCCCCCAGGTCTCCTCCACCATTTGGGCCTGGTTAGGCGCCCATGGTGAGGCACTCAGGCCCTTTTGGGTTTTGTTTTCCATAAATATTGCCTCTTCGCAGCTGCCAGCTTCCCCCTGATTTCCAGAGTATCAAAATATTGTGTGTCGGCTCTGGGAGAGAGGCGGCTGTGTGGGTGGGGCTGCAGTGCACTCTTACTGCATTTTCCCACGAGGCCGCTCTTGAGGCCCGTGCCACGGGGAGAGGGCCCTGGGTCCTCCACGAGATAAAGACAGTGATCAGTCACTCTCGCTTTGGGGAGGGGTGGCGGCTGGGCCATGTGGTTTTCGTCAGCGGCTTGGGAAGGGCGAGAGGGTTTATTTGTGTTCCCAGGACGGAAGAACATATTTGGACTGGATTTCTCAGCCTCAGCCCCGCTGACATTTAGAGCTGAGAGTTTGCTGTGGGGCCGCCTGTGTGTTGGAGGATGCTTAGCAGGGCCTCTACCTGTTAGACGCCAGGAGCACCTCTACCAGTTGTGGCAACCAAAAATGTCCCCGGACATTGCCAAGCACCCCTGGCAAACTTGCCCTCAACTGGGGACCACTGATCTGGACCTAGCGGCCTGACTCAGCTTGGGAGAGCTCGGCTTGTTGGCCACGCCAGCGCTTCCCCGTTGGGGCCGTGGCCGTGTGCCCTCATGACATCGGGCCACGCTGTCCCTCCTGGGGCGCTCTCTGAGGGACTTGGGGAGCCTTGGAAGCCCAGGGTCTTGAGGAGGGTGATGTGCGGAGCTTCTTTTTGTGCCTGTGGACGCCTTTCTGTGTGGCCTTCTTGGCCCTCAGAGCCTTGGTGTGGCTCCGTTCCTGGTAGGCAGGGCCTCCTTTGCTTTGGTGCCCTCTTCAGAGCAAGGCAGGCTCAGAGCGTTTCTGCAGCCGCTGCGGCCTGAGGTGATCTCTGCAACTCCGGGGACATCTCTGCATCGGTCCCTGGAGTGTGATGAACTGCTCTTCATATGTCTGCGTGGTATCGCGCAGACAGTAGGTGCTTGCGAAGTGCCCGTTTAGGGATTGATGCAAGTTAGAAGAGCAAGCTCCTCTGTAAGGCTCAGCTTCCGCGTGCATCTAAGATTCCAGGGTTGGAATCCATTTTCTTTGCAGGTGGAGGGGGGGATGGGGAGGTGGCAGGGCGATTGTCCACCGGAGCAAGTCGTGTCCACTGATGCGCTGCCCTGGCTCCTGACAGCGCCACCTGTCCGCCTCCCCCGTCCTCCAGGCCCAGCTCGAGTGGCCGGCGGTGACAGACGTGTCATCTCCGAGCACGCGACTTGGGTGTGCATGTGTCGTCCCACCTTGTCATCCAGGGACGGGCAGACAGGGCCTGAACCCCCAGTGACAGACGGGGACGTTCGGGCTCCACTTGAAACCCCTGCTGTCTCCGTCTGCTAATTGTGCACTGGGAATTCTGTCCTCATACGTCCCCC